CGGGTGGTAACTGGAACAGTCTGTGGGGTCTTTGCCTGGTTTAAACAGGAAAGTCATCAAGGATGAATTAAGAGAAGGATGAAGATGGGAAGCAGAGATAGCAGAATTCAGCATGTGGAGAAGCGGAGTAGAAAGCTGTTTCCAGAAGGCAGAAGGGAGATCAGAAAGGAGACCATCAGGTTCCGGAGATTTCCCTGGGCTCATGGAGTCCAGAGCCTCTAAGTTCTGTGACTGAAAGAGGAGCATCAGGCATGGAGGCTTCTGGACCCGAGAGCCGAGGGAGGGGTAAGGAACGAATCGGGATCAGAGGATGGGGAGACAGGGGGTGAAGAGAATAAATCAGAATAAAACTGAAAAAAGGATTTATTGATTTCCAGAGGGTTAGTGGTGACGAGCCCATCCTTAGTTTCAACTGAAGATATAACTGAGAATGAGTCACACTGCCTAAGCCTAAGAGCCAATAGTTTACTGGGCCTGGAACCAGAAACATTATAGCGTGACCTGGAGCGATGAACCATAAACTCTGAGCAGTGAGATAGAAGGAATCCAGCTCAGCTCTTACACTGCAGAGCTCGCACTTTATAATTGAGATAGACGCTTTTCTAGTTCAGAAAGTTTCTGACGACCATCGCGAGCCAAATCGCTGGCAAAGGTAACCGTGGCGTCAGGAAGGAAGCCCTTAACAGCCATCCAGCAGTAGGCTGGGTCGTCAGTTCAGCCACATTAATGGAAATAAATTCTTCGAGTCTAGGGGTTAAATAAGCTATGAATTTGGGGTTTTGAAGCAGAGAAGAATTACATTTCCATCGTGGGGCCCGAGGAGGTAGATAAGGCAGCGCCGACTGGAGGAAGGCAGACTTGTGATCAGATAGAGAAGAGGAAATCAGAGAAGCTTTAGAAACAGCAGGTGGAAGAGAGAGAGAAACAAGGATGTGATCTAAGTGAGACTGGGACTGGAAGCCAGGAGAGAAAAAGGAGAATTCTCTGGCGGAAAGGGTTAATTAAACGGAATGAGTCGACTAAATAAAGTCCTGCACAAATTTACACAAGGAGCGGGAGGGGGGGCACCCAGCTACCCAAGAGAGGGGGGGGTTTGTCCAGGACTGGATTGTGAACGGCGTTGGCATCAGTACCATTAAAAAGCTTGAATTCCTGGAATTTAAGAATATAATTAGACAGATCCAAGAAGAATGAGCCGCATTCCGGGGGGGGGGGCATAAGCAGCAACAAAACAGACCTTCCTGCCCCCCAGGTCAGAAAGAACATAACAGAACCTGCCATCAGCATCTCGTCCCGAATCGAGAATACGACTTTGAAGGGCGCGTCTAACCAAAATGAGCAGCCAGATCTCCGGGAGGAAGCTGATGAGGAAATAACCCTGTAGAAGCTGGAGGCCACCAGCATTGCATCTCGCTGTGGTAAGTGGGTCTCAATTAAGAAGGAATATCAACACGGTGCCTTTTCAAACAGTCAGAGACACTGGACCTTTTCTCTGGGGTAGAAACGAAGAGCAAGGTGTAAACGAAATAAAACATGAAAAAATCTCAGAATGCCGCAGACGCTGCGGAGGTGGAATGTGCCGGACAGTCGGCCGCAACTTTAAGCCATATGTCTCAGGGACTGAACCCCCACCACTGTTACTGCCCCGTATACAAAACGGAAAGGAGGCGATCAGGAGAGCCGTCAGCTAGTCAGACAATAGCAAAAGACCAGCAAACATATAAATAATTAACAAAAGTAAATGCAAATGACAAAATAATCACAGACAGGAGCAACAGGTAAGAGGACAGTACAATACACAGAACTCAAGGAGATTACAGTGACCTGCCAGAAATGACCATTAACTCAGTGGGGAGAGAATCAAACGGGAAGAGTCCCGAGAGACTGGAAATGGTCCATGGTGGCGTTGGCGTCCTCCAGAGTACAAAACATGCTGACTTCCAAAGCACAGCTTCAGGCGAGCAGGAAACAATAGGAAATGAGAAAGGCCCAACTCCTTCGCCCCCCAGATCGGTGTGTTCATCGCCTTCCTGGCCTCTGCAATCTTGGGGCTAAAATCTTGGTAAAAATACATTCTGCCGTCTTTGATGCTGAGATCCTGTATTTTGTTGGCTTCACGTATCACCGCCTGCCGGTCATGGATGTCAATAAAGTGCATGATGATGGGAGGGGGGCGAGAAGAGGTTTCGGACCGGCCGCACAGCCTGTGAGCACAGTCAATGGTCGTCTGGAAGTTGGGGAGATGAGGGAAAATGGCGTGCCAGAGCTGGGTAAATAATGACCCCATATCGCTCCCCTCGTGGCCAAGCTTAACCCCAATTAATTTAAGGTTAAGGCTGCGGTCCTCAATCTCAGTGATCTTGCTATCCAGAGATAGCAGACCCTTATTAAATCCAGCCAGCATCTTGGGATGTCGATCGGTAACAGACTTTACAGTGGCGACTTCTTTTTGGATCGACTTAAAGTCCTCAGCGCGTTCAAGTCAGTTCAAAGCTCTGAATAGTGTTGCTGGAGTTCACCATTTAGAGGGTTCACCTGCTCACAGACAAAGTTCTTCACCTCCTCAAGAAAAGGGGGCCAGGAGGGGAGAGATGGCCTCCGCATTTACGTGCCATCGGAGCGAGGCGACGTCTTCTCTGGGCTGCAAAGATCTGAGCGAGGTCTGCGCTGATTAGCAGCCATGAGGACGATAACTGGATTGATCGCTAAAACAGCGTTAAATTTCTGGCAGGTAAGTGACAAGGGCACCGTAAAAGAGGCAGACGGAGGAAGGGACGCATGGAAGAGCAGAGCTAGACAGCCATCGGCACCGAGTGTCACGTGACTCTCCCTCACTGTATTAGTTAATAAACCAAACACCCAGTGGCAGGAGGAGCTGCACAAACCGAGGTCTCAGCTTAACACCAGTTTGATGATACAATGGTGTTAAAGCTGAGCTGTAGCCGATGGACGGCATCTTGACTCCTAAATGTCCCAGAGCAGCGTGCAGGGAGAGGCAGACGGCATCATCCATGGATCTGTTACACCAGAATGTAAACTGCAGTGGGTCCAGGACTGAGGGCATGTTGAGGTTGATGTAGGACATGACCAGACTTTCCAGGGACTGCGGAGGTTAAAGCGACGGGACGGTAGCTGTTTAAGCAGGAACACACTGCAGTCCAAAGGTCCCTTTGAGAGCCGATACTGCAGTGTAACTCGTCCGGCTTGTTTCCCAGAGGCTGGGGGTTCGCCAGGAGGACAGTGGGGGTGGGAGGCCGGGATGAACGCTGTCACAGCCTGGTTAGCACGCCGCCCCACAGCCCCCTCCCCCACTGGGTCTGACCATGGTTGGTGCTGTTTGGTCTGGTCGTAGTGTTTTGAACAATTTTGTCAGGTAAATCAGGAATGAAAGGTTTGCGGGGACATTATGCTTAATGTTCAGCAGAGTGTGGAGGTCATAGATAATAAAACATCAAGCTACACGTATAAAGATGCTAAAAAACAACAAAAACACACAGTAGGGGGAGAGCAGTTCGTAGAGTGTCGCTATGGGAGATGTAATAAAATTTAGAAAAGTGAATCTTTTTATTTACTAACATATTACCAAATGATTAGTGACAGTTTATTAATGGTTAAGGAGCAGATCATAAAGTAAAGTGTTACCAGTTTTTCTTACCTTTGTCATTGTCTAAAACCAGACTTAGATACAGGAGACTTAATATTAGGTGCAGTGAGAATAAAATCCCCAAAAGGATTTTCTGAGCCAGATCTAAAAAACATCAAAATGTGAAAAACAACAGATTAAATACACATAACATAAAACAGGCCTTTATTAAATATTTTCTCTCTCTTCATTTTTTGCTAAAACATCCTTGAGTCGGATCTCAGAGGAGGTGGGAAAATAACGGAAATATCAGTATATTAATACTAAGGCCCTAATAAGCAGCCCCCCCCCTTTGGCTCCATAACAGCTCTGACCCCCCCTTGGACACCCCCTAACCTGTGTGCAGTGGGATACTGGGCCATTCTTCAGAAAGAAAAGCCTCGAGCTCTTTGGAGCATTAAGGTGGGAATCGACTTCACACACTGTGCTCCAGAACCTCCCATAAAGCTTTAATGGTGTTTGGATCTGGTAGCTGGGAGGCCAAGGAAGGCATCTGACTCCATGCTGGTGCTCATGAAACCTCTCCTGAATGTGTTTAGCAGGGTCTATGGGGGCATTATCACCTTGGAATAAGGAACATCATGAGGGAACAGTGTCTGAGACACAGGGAGCAGCTGCTCTTGTAAAAAGCCCTCATGTTCCTATATAGGACCATGCAGAGCATCATCAGACCTAAAGACTCCCACAAGATGGCTGCCCACACCAACAGGCACTGTGGGCTGATGGCGTCCTTTGGCTTCTCCAAATGTAACCCCATCCAGATGTAGGAAAAGGGTGACAGATGGTTCATCAGACCATGTTACTCTTTCCCATTGTTCAGGGGTCCATGTTCTGTGCTCCTTACACCAGGTTATGTGTCTCTGTTCACTGGCCTTGGATAGAAGCACTTTCTGAATGGCAGCCCTGCCATAAATCCCAGCTTTGTGAGGTTCATGATTTACTGTTTTTACTGAGACTATTAGCTGTACTTTTGTGATGTTTACCAGCTTCCCTGTCTGTCTGTCCCTGTCTGTGAGCTCTGATCTGTGACCCCTGTTCCTCTTTGCTGATGCAGTCTGCCTGTGTTTGGCCTGTGCTCATAATTTATCACACTGTCCCTCTTGATGATTAATTTTGCTGTTTTTGTGACCGATGCACTGGCTATTTGGCCCATTAGGGACTGTGTTAGTTGCCTGACTAAAAGTGATTCAGTAACACTAATATTAATTAATATTAATAATATCATTAATTTAATTTAATAATTTCATTAATATTAATAACACTACATTAATCCCAGTGAGGAAATTCTCCTCCCCCACCTGGCTCTCCATGACACACAGACACATATAAAGATGACAGCAGCTTGGCAGTGAAGGGCAGCCACCTGCAGCAGCCCCCATGGAGCTGGGGGTTATGGGCTTTGCTCAAGGGCCCACAGATGTGACTATACTGCTGAGGCCAGGCGTGAACCAGCAACCTACTGATCACAGACCCAGAGGCTTAGCCCACTGAGCCACATGCTGCCCCATTATAGCTAAAGTAGCTACTGTATTTGTACATGACTTGTACTTCTGTAGTAACTGAGTTATTATTAAGCATTTTTGCCCCCTCAAGTAAAGTGTTACCACTTATTCTAAAAGGCTAATATACCTGCACAGGCTTCATATTCTAGCTCTGGTCCTGCATGCTGATTGGCAGATGCATTTAAATTCAGGCCATATTCACAGATGCATTAATCCTTGTGATTCATCTACATGATTATATTTGGGACAGATATCACCAAGCAAATCAAACTCTTCAGATCGTCACCAGCAGAGACCAAACACTGTGACATCACATCTTTTAAAAGAGAATTAATTTAGGACAAGATGGGACAGTTTGACTGTATTCTGTATACAAATACTAAGGTCGTATTTTGGTTGACTGGTAATTACAAAACCTGTATAATCTGTCTAACAACCTTAAAATAAGCCACTGGCTGAGTTAAGTCTGCATGCATAGATACCTAATTACATACATACAGCAGGGGCGGCCAGTCTTACCCGCAATGGGCCGGTGTGTATGCAGGTTTTTGGGATAACCTGTAGGTCAGCTGTTCAAACCCAGGCGTGAGGACTCTTCAGCCAATCAGTCCTTTAATTAGTAATCTAATTAGGGAGTTGCAGCAAAAACCCAGATACATAATGGCCCTTTCTGGATAAGATTGGCCATCCCTGACATACAAAGAGTCCAGGGAGTTTAGCTCCTCTAGACCAACAGGGTGAAACCTTCCTCACACACAGAGCAGAGCTCATGTACCCTAAAGCCAGTTATAGGCAGATAAGCAGATAAGTACTAGACCGAGGGGAATACAATGAGTTACACTGCATTCAGATACTTTGTAGTGTTCGTGCAGAATTATTGCATTATTGCAGGTCAATACCAAATACTTACAGAAATGTCTGAATGACTTCAGAAATCTTTTGGCAACAAAGCACGCACATATTCCCAAAGATGCGATTGTAATTGGGATGAAATATCCTGAAATCAGAAAGCAAACGTTACTGTACATTAATCCCCACCCTGATTCCATATTCACACATTCAATTATAGCTATGAATATAAACTTAAACATGGTTAATGTCTGAGTTTCACGTTTGAAGCTGTTTTACACATTTAAACCCCCCCCACATTATGTGTCCTCATGCTCTCTTTATCAAAGTACCAGGGGTTGCATGACTTAAGATTTTTTAAAGTCGACAGTTATGTGATTAAAGTTGAGTCCATGTCGACTAATCGCTGATGACATCATTAATAAAACCACAGGAGAAGTGATTGCTTTACAGTATAACAAGCTGAAATCTGTATTTACAAAACCATTCACAAAGACCAGAGTTCGGTTATGTGTGTCTGGTGTTCTCTCTGTGTCCTCTGGTTTCTCCCCACAGTCCAATAACGTGTCGCTTTGGCATATCCTCTTGGGTTATTCCCTGCCTGGCACCCATTGTTTCTGGGATTGGCTCTAGACCCCTGTGGCATTTGCTGACAACAGGCTGCAATGCAGCAGCACCAGTTTATGCAGCAGTAACACTAATATGCTACAACTTCCGTTAAAGTGCAAAAGAAGAAAGACTGAAATTTCAGTATGATAAAACTCACACGAGATGCCGCCTTTACTCCTGCGTTTTCTCACTGAAGTTCAGGGGCGGATTCCACAAAGAAGGATTTCTTCATTTAACAGAAACTTAAGGCAAATGTAAGGACTGTCCAATGGGGATGTCACTTACCTCCCTTCCTATTGGACAGATTTCACATTTGGATTAAGATATCCAGCTAACTGGGAAATCCTGCTTTGTGGAATACCCCCCAGGAACCAAGGGCCTCATTTATAAAGAATGTTCCTAAATTCTTGCAGGAGGTATAATCTTTGTATGAAAATCATGTTTGTATGAAAACTCACCCTTTATATGTAAAGTAAAAGTTAAATTTATAAAACTTGCATAAACCACAATATGCATTGTACAGGTTACAAATCCCACATATTGTAGAATCATTTGCGCGATTAAGAGACTGCCCCATTCCCACCAACTAATCACCCTACACTGGCAATGCAAATTAGCCACGTGTATGTAAACGTGCACATCTTACACTTGCAATGCAAATTAGCCACGTGAATGTAAATGTTACATCTTACACTTGCAATGCAAATTAGCCACGTGTCTGTAAATGTTACATCTTACACTGGCAATGCAAATTAGCCACGTGTCTGTAAATGTTACATCTTAAACTTGCAATGCAAATTAGCCACGTGTCTGTAAATGTTACATCTTACACTTGCAATGCAAATTAGCCACGTGTATGTAAATGTTACATCTTACACTTGCAATGCAATTTCAGAGACAATGGAGCCAAAAACAAGGGGGAAAAAGGAATTTCTCAGAACGCGAAGTGCAGACTTTTTAGGGTCCAAAGTAGAGCAACAGCAAACCATTTAATTTGGTAGTGAGCCGACATCTGCCAGACAAATTTAAAAATGGCTGGATTTGAACTCCGTTAAACAGGTGTTCCTCTTCTCTGTGTGGTTGGTGACACGGGGCCCCTTCACATACACAAGGGTTAGGGGCAGCAGATCCCAGTGAACATGATAATTCCTGAATAATAGCAGTGATTGGACAGTAACTGGCGGGGAGGGCTTTCGCCCATTGGCGCAGTAGCCTGTTAAGCAGTAAGCACCAATTTCCAAATGAATCGCAAAACCGACATCCCGCGGTTCATAAGGGCGTATTGGACCGTGCAGGGCGGACCGAACGATTCAGTATTTCACCGAGTACCGTTGCATACCTAGTATGCGCGTGACGTCACAGCAGGCGGAAGTCAACCACCGAGTGGCAAAAAAAAACTGAGTGGAGCGTTAGTGTTCAGCTTGAATGCCGCAAAAACATATTTAAAATGGAAAAGCTGTCAACCCAGTCACCCAGAGACACTCACAGGAAAAGCTACTGCAGACTCCTGATAAATGCTAACACACATAAACAAGTTAAATACGTTAAATCAATAAATATATGCCCATGGAAACGGACTTAGAGGGCTGATATATGTACCAAATGCATATTGTTAGAATTGGCTAAAATGATTACACAATTTCTATCCTGCAATCATGAAGTTCACTTTATTCACTAATACATAACGTAAATATATGCATATACCATCTAGAAAGTAAATCTGCCATGTAATTATTTGTTTTGATAGATTAAATGACATTCCTGTGTTGTGCAATCATGTTGAATTGCTTTGAATTTCAAAGAATTAAATTCTTCTTCCTGTTGTTCCAATTCAAATTCCAATTCAACATCGTGCAGGGCATCTTATAGGGGTGTGGCCAATTCAATTCAAATCATGAATGGAAGGAGGCTCATAAATTCTGAACAATCCTGGTACATAATGAACTAAAATCAAGCTTACTATGTCTTCAGTCACGACCTTTGATTGGGGAAGGTGAATCACCCCCCATGACCAGGATTGGCAGAGAATTGTGCAACTCAGCCAAATACAGTGTTTGAGACAGCGCCAACCAGGAAGACAAGTTGCTTCTCTAAATCCTGTTATGAAGGTGGTCATGAACCCCATGGACCATCTCAGTAATGAACAATTCATAGAGAAATACAGGCTGGCCTGGGGTGACATAATGAGCAGGATAAATGAAAAGAGGAACACAGCACAGCGTGCAGCTCCTGACAGCTTTCTGCTTCTACACCAACGGAGGATAACTGCAGACCGTCAGGATGCACATGGCCTCAGGAAGACTGCTGTGTCCAGATCTGTGCATTGGCCACATTTCTATTGCACAGGGCGCACAACTACACACAGTTTCCTGCAGGAGAGGATGTCTTGCATGACACTAAAAGTGGTTTTCATGCCATTGCAGGCATACCTGACAATGTAGGTGCAGTGGATGGAACCTTCAACCCTGTTCATACTCACAACCACCTGAATCCCATCTGCAGCTGTCAAAAAGGGTTACTGACACTTGGTTATTGGGAGACAGCAGGCATCCTCTTAGCTAATATCTGCTGACTGCAGTGTTGAATCCCCAAACCGTGGCTGAGGAGAGATACACCACCACACACATAAGACACACACTGCTGTGGAGGGGGCTTTGGGCATGTGGAAGATGCGATTCTGGTCCTACACAAGACCTTGGGAGCTCTAAGATTTCTCCCTGAATGCTGCTGTACTGCTCTTGTTATGTGTAACATGCTGCACAACATTGCAGTAATTATTTTATTAAAATATATTTTTGGCCACCTCCTCGATGAGTTAACACTGCTTTTGAAAAGTGTTACTTCCTTTTGATATTGCTGTTCGCCATTGTTCTTTTTTACAAGGAGAAACATCACAAGCCCATTTTTATATTTTCAACAAATAGATTAATCTATTTTGGTCTTTGGTGTGTTTTTATCAATTTTCTAATTATTTTATTTTTTACATCTGCATATGAATGATCATTTTTTGTTATTCGCTAAGATCGAAAGCTTTCAGGAAAGGCACGCCAGAGTGACAACGTAAAAACTATTACCAATATCTAAACAAACATTAGCCCTACTGTAGCTTACTGTACACTCTGCATGTTAAATTACTTTGTCATTTCCTATCTAGCCTTTTTACAGCCTATAATATACAAACCATCTTAAGTATGTGCAAAGTTACTACTATACGCACTAGGAACCTTAAGTTTTGGACCCATTATAAAAATGTACAATTAACAGGACCGAACAACTTTAAACTTACAATCACAAAGACAGCTAATATGGGAGTGACCCTGATGTGCGGCGCAGCCAAGGCAAGACTTTTAATATTAAAGATGTACATAGTATTTGTAAGTGTAAGTGTAAGTGTAACTAATATTTAAATATCATATGATATTATGTGATCCAAATCATATCAGTATTGTTTTTGGCTTATGCATCATGTGAGTTTCTGCGATCTTTCGGCAAGCTCCAAAAATATTCCCGTTTAATTGTTCATGGCCAACTGGCGAATTACCAAAACCGCGAATGTGAAGACGGCACGGATGAAGGTGAAAATAAAGTGCGAAAACCAGCAGTTGTGTGGAAGCACTTTACATAAAAAGTAAATGAAAATGCAGTATTGCAAAGCAACTTAAATATCACCACAGCACAGCTAAAATGAAAATACACCTTAAAGACGGGTTTGATGGACTCGCCCACTAATGTGAGATTAGCCATAGACATGTGTCATTCTGCCTATTGAATTAGCCTAGCATGCTTTTTCCATCACTTTGACTTTCAGTCAGTTTGCTTAATTTACTTCCTACGATTCTGCTATGTCAAAATATTAATAATTATTGCTAAAACAAAAGTTAACCCTGTCATTTAGCCGCATCCTACATAATATGGCAGATATTAACCATACAATATTGTAATAACTAGCAGACTGAGGCATCATGGCAGCGAAAGATGAGACTTTTTGCGGAAGACCAACAAGGCTCTTTTATTAGAGTAATTACGGGGAGTAACACAGGCACTGAACAGGCAGCGGAACCTCACATACTCCTCGCACAGCCGCTCCCGGTCCTGCTGACTCTGCTACCACTGCTCCTCATGCTCAGGCTGCTCCTGAGCCAGCTGAGCCTCTAGCGTGCAGCACGCCTCCTCACGACTGAGGAGAGCAGCCTCAACCTGCTGTCTGCCTTAGTTGTGCTCACAACATACAAGGGGCTATTTACATCTGACGGGGACCGAGAGCGGCTGTGCGAGGAACCGGCCAACTGGGAGTGTGACCACTCGATCCTGTGAGCACGACGCCACGCAGGAGGTCCAGTATGGCAGCCAACAACGGGCCCCCCAAAGTCACAGAAGAAGGGCTGAGGTCAGGGGGGGGCCACACCGCCAGAGCCTGCTGGTTTATGCCTCACATCCAGCTCATTGAGCAAAAGTTAACACTGAAGGGCCGACACTTCATACACTTCATACTCCATACGGTTCCACCACCAGTATATGGACAGTTAGCCATGATTATGT